CACACACACAAAAATTGGTACTATATTTTCACCAAAAAAAGAACAGTCCTCCAAGGCTGAGAAGGGAGCATGTTGACATGTCGTGGGGTTGTTAACCAATGTCATAAAACAATGCGTACTGACTGTTTAATGAGAGAATATTTGTTCTATAAACCTTCACCTAAAGTACAACGAAAAAAGCAAATACATCACCTTGAGTCTTAAGGTGCACCTGAACAAAGCCATGGTATTTTCAATCGCATCATATGCATGCAAAAGCTGTACAGTGAATTAGGAGGACCTAAGAAGAACTGATGCATCTGTGTTATGGTATTGGCAAAGAATACTGAATATACCATGGACTGCCTGAAATATACCACGGACAGACAGAAAATCTGTCTTGTAACAAGTACAGCCAGAATGCTCCATAGAAGCGAGGATGGAGAGACCTGATCTCACTTACTTTGGACATGTTGTCACGAGTGACCAGTCCCTGCTGAAGGACATCATGCTTGGTAAAGCAGAGGGTCAGCGAAAAAGAGGAAGGACCCTAAACGAAATAGATTGACACAGTGGATGCAACAATGGGCTCAAACATAGCAAAGATTGTGAGGATGGCGCAAGTCTGGGCAGTGTCACATTTTGTCGTGCACAGGGTTGCTATGAGTGGGAACTGACTCAACGGCACCTAACAACAACTACAACCATTTAACATTGGAGAAGGCTTGCATTAATTTATAAGCCATCTCAGCCTGTTGGGGTTTTCTGTTTGTTGTTTTTTAACATCTGACGAACCACATAAAAACTCATTTAATGCCTTATTGATCTTTAACAAATATGAAAATGAATATAGTTATTTTATAAAATAAAGCTTACATTCTTAGATCTTTGCTAAGCAATCATGAATTATCTGTTCATATGAATAATTGTTCCTATCAATTAAGTTACTGTCCTTATTTTTGTTTGTACTTTTTCTGCACATCTGTATTTGCTCATATTCACATTCTCTTTAGTTTACTAGTAGAAAACTAAGGTCACAATCAAAAATTTTATTCCTCAGACATTGCTTCCTTTATTTTCCTTTCTCCCTCTTTATTTTATTCTTATAAAGTATGAAAACTTTAGGCATACCTGGGATATTTTATTAAAAAGTGAGAGAAAATTCGGTTCTAACAGTTTAGTCTATAAAAACAGAGCTAGCTTTCCATTTCACCTCATTCTCATCCGTCCCTTCAGTCTCCCTGGAGGGTGATCTAAATATCCAATTCCATCAACTCTAGATTATTACGGATTCTGAAAACACTTATACTCATTATATTAAAATCTCATTTCTAAGTGTTGCATGAATGAAGCACTAGTACTTCCTCTTAAAATACAGTTTGTTCCTTTTGGTAGTCTTGTAATCTTTTCATCAGGGGAAATAAATTAGACTAGTACTGATGGTGCACTGCATGAAGAAGCTGGTCAAAAAACGTTAGTTTCTGCTCTTCCTTGCTACTAATTAGTTCCTAGGCAAATCACTTAGCTTGTTACTCAAAAGTAAACATATACATAGTGGTGCAGAGGTTAAGGACTCAGCTGCTAATGGAAAGGTCAGATTCAAACCCACCAGTCACTCCTTGGGAGAAAGATGTGGCAATCTGCTTCCATAAAGATTACAGCCTTGGAAACCCTACGGGGCAGTTCTACTGTGTCCTACAGGGTGGCTATGGGTAGAAATCCACTTGATGGCAATGGGTTTGGTTTTTTGTTTTTTTATAATTTTAAAACTAACGTAATGTTTATACTGCTGCCTTATGTACTGTCCCATGTGCCTGACTATATAACGTACCCACTGCCATCAAGTCGATGCTGACTCATGGAAACTACATGTGTTTCAGAGTAGAACTGAGCTCCATAGAGTTTTCTTGGCTGTTATCTTTTTTATTTTATTGTTGTACTTTAAGTGAAAGTTTACAATTCAAGTTAATCTCTCATACAAAAATTTATGCATACACTGTTATGTGATCCTAATTGCTCTCCCTATACTGCGACAGCACACTTCTCCTTTTCACCCCTGATTCCCCATGTCTATTCAACCAGCTCCTAACCCTCTCTGCCTTCTCATTTCACCTCTGGACAGGAGCTGCCCATTTAGTCTCATGTATCTACTCAAGCTAAGAGGCACACTCTTCACGAGTATCATTTTATGTCCCATAGACCAGTCTAATCTTTGTCTGAAGAGCTGGCCTCAGGAATGGTTTTAGTTCTGGGTTGACAGAAGTGTCCAGGGGCCATGCTCTCTGGGGTTCCTCCAGTCTCAGTCAGACCATTAAGTCTGGTCTTTTTACTAGAATTTGAGTTTGGCACCCCACTTTTCTTGTTCTCCATTAGGGACTCTCTGTTGTATTCCCTGTCAGGGTGGTCACTGGCGGTAGCCGGGCACCTTGGCTGTAATCTTTATGGAAGCAGATTGACAGGTTTTTCTTCCACAGCACCACCAGGTGAGTCCAAACTGCCAACCTTTCACTCAGTAATCAAGCACAAATTGTTTGTGCTACCCAGGGACCTATGCTATGATACAGTAGCAATAAAAACAGTATAAATGATTCAACACAAATAATGTGGTTCAATGAAAGGAGCATTTTACCAGAAATCAACATAGAAAAACATGGAACTTGGAATCAAACCAGTATGGATTCAAATGTCAATTGTGTGACTAGGATAAATTATCTGACACTCCAGAAACTCCACTTTTACAAAATGAAAATAGTACAATTAACTTTACAGAAGTATTATGAGAATTAAATTGGACAAATATTTTTGGTCATAGTATATTGCAGCTGGTCAATAAATGGTAGGCTTCTGTCTCTAATCATTAATTAGCTCCTGAGTAGGACACAGATATTCTGTGCCTCTCCTTCCTTGTATGAGAAACTAGAGTCATGCCTATACCTTCTACTTTCCAGAGTTACTATAAAGAACCAAACAGTATTTCATCTGAAAGCCAAATAAGAATGTAAGGCAATCTAGAATCAGTAATCTAGAATCTTGCTACTCACTAGAGACTAACCAAAAACAAAAATCGAACCCATTGCCATCAGGTCGATTCCGACTCATAGCAAACCTACAGGACAGAGTAGAACTGCCCCACAGGGTTTCCAAGGAGCAGCTGGTGGATTCGAACTCCTGACCTTTCGGTTAGCACCCAAGCTCTTAACCACTGCACCACCAGAGCTCCCACTACAGACTAGCAACATCAGAATCATCTGGGAGCTACTAGATATGCTGAAACTCGAGCCCCACCTAACCTACTTGACAAGAATCTGTATTTTAACAGGATCTCCAAGTCATTTTTATGGGCAATAAAGTTCAAAAAGCACCACGAAAAAAAAAAAAAAAAAAAAAGAAATCCTTCAACCTGGAAGAAAAGAACTTTGCCAATACAGTTGTGCCAAAAACCCAAAAGGCAAAGGGCATCTGGTGGCACAGTGGTTAACTGCTTGGCTGCTAACTAAAAGGTCAGTGGTTCAAACCTACCAGCCATTTCACGGGGGAAAGAATTGGCAGTCGGCTTTCCTAAAGAGTAAGACCTTGGAAACCCTATTGGGTAGTTCTACTCTGTCCTATAGGATTGCTATGAGTCAGAATCAACTCGACAGCGGTGGGTTTTTTTATATTGATTCAATTACCTTGGGAGAGCAGGTATAAGGCAAGAGGTTGTAGTTTGGTAGAAACTGAAACAGTGAGAAACAACTCAGGAAAGGCAGAAACATTAGGCAAAGGGTCCAATATTCTCCAGAGGCAAATTGGGAGTCCAACCCATGAACAATATAATAATGTCTATAATGATGTCCCTAGCTCATAAATCTTTGCATTTTAACACTTGAAAGATGTCTTCTGCAGCAGATTTGCCCAATGCAATGCATTGTTTGAATTCTTGACTGCTGCTTCCTTGGGTGCTGACTGTGGATCCAAGTAAAATGAAATCCTTAACAACGTCAATCTTTTTCTCCATTTATCATGATGTTGCTTATTGGTCTAGTTGTGAGGATTTTTGTTTTCTTAGTTGAGGTATGGTCTTTGATCTTCATCAGTAAGTGCTTCAAGTCCTCTTCACTTTCAGCAAGCAAGGTTGTGTCACCTGCGTAGCACAGGTTGTTAATGAATCTTCCTCCAACCCTGATGCCCTGTTCTTCTTCATATAGTCCAGCTTCTCCGGTTATTTGCTGAGCATACAGGTTTAATAAGTATGGTGAAAGGATACAACCCTGACACATATCTTTCCTTATCTTAAACCACGCAGTATCCCCTTGTTCTGTCAGAACGACTGTCTCTTGATCTATGTACGGGTTCCTCATGAGCACAATTAAGCGCTCTGGAATTCCCATTCTTCTCAAACGTTACCCATAATTTGTTACGATCCGCATAGTCAGTAAAACACAGGTAAACATCTTTCTGGTATTCTCTGCTTTTAGTCAGGATCCATCTGATATCAGCAATGACTTTCCAGGCTCCCGTTCTATTCTGAATCTGGCTTGAATATCTGGCATTTCTCTGTCAATGTACTGCTGCAGCCGCTTTTGAATGATCTTCAGCAAAATTTTACTTGTGTGTGATATTAATGATATTGTTCGATAATTTCAGCATTCGGCTGGATCACCTTTCTTTGGAATAGGCATAAATATGGATCTCTTTCTTGAAGACTAAGGTGCGCCTGACCTAAGCCATGGTGTTTTCAATTGCCTCACATGCGTAGGAAAGCTGGACAATGAATAAGGAAGACTGAAGAACTGACGCCTCTGAATTATGGTGTTGGTGAAGAATACTGAATATACCATGGACTGCCAAAAGAACAAACAAATCTGTCTTGGAAGAAGTACAGCCAGAATGCTCCTTAGAAGCAAGGATGGTGAGACTTCATCTCACATACTTTGGACATGTTATTAGGAGAGACCAGCCCCTGGAGAAGGACATCATGCTTATTAAAACAGAAGGCCAGCAAAAAAGAGGAATACACTTAACGAGATGGACTGACACGGTGGCTGCAACAATGGGCTCAAGCATAACAACAATTGTGAGGATGGCGCAGGACCAGGTAGTGTTTCCTTCTGTTGTATATGCAGTCGCTATGAGTTGGAATTGACTCAACGGCACCTAACAACAACAAGCTCATAAATAAAAAGAAAAATTACTTTAAATATGCTCTGTTGGAGAGAAAAAAATGTATTCTACTGCAAGAATTTTCTCTAAAAATCATATATACATATTAAATTAGTGCATAAAATTATTAGGCACATTTACTTTCGTATTATAATACTTCATTTACCAACAGAGCTAGTTTTCCATTTTTAAAAAGGTTAAAATCTGTTGCTGTTAGGTGGATTCCGATCCATAGCGACCCTAGAGGACAGAGTAGAACTGCTCCATAGGGTTTCCAAGGAGCAGCTGGTAGAATGCCATATCAGTTAACCACTGCACCACCAGGGCTCCTTAAGAAGGCTAGAAATTCCATTATATAACTTTCAAGACTAATTTAGTACTCATTAAGCACTGCCAGTGTTAGGCCATAATTTTCCCCTAACATGCCTGAAGCTTTCCTCCTTCTATCTTCTCCACATTTCCACCTCTGTTGCAAGTCTTTTCCCATCCACAAATGTTCATTCCTTCCTTTGACACCCCAGGGCTTATCTTCCTTTGACCCCCAGTGCTTACTAAATCTCCTTTAAGGCTAGGGGCCATCTCTCACAGCATTATATACCTCTTAGGGGCAAATATAATCCTTTAAAATACCGGATAGAATATTATGTATGGCCTAAGGAGACGTGGGAAGAATTGAGCCAAAAGGGGACAGGAAAATGAGACCTTTGTGTTATCTCATTTTTGAAGGAATTTTTCCTTACTATTTTATAGTCAAGGAGCCCTGGAGGTGCAGTGGTTAACCGCTTGCCTGTTCTCCAAAAGTTCAGCGCCTTGAAATCACCAGCTGCTCCGTGGGAGAAAGACGTGGCAGCCTGCTTCTGTAAAGATTACAGCTGTGGAAATCCTATGGGGCAGTTCTACTTTGTCCTACAGAGTCACTATGAGTCAGAATTGACTCGATGGCAACAGGTTTAGTTTTGGTTTGGTATTTTATAGTCACAAAGCAATCCACAGAAATATGAATTCACATTTAGTAGTGGCAAATAATTCTTAGTATTTAAATAGTTTTGTAGAAACGTAAATATTCCTGCTAGAAGACTCAAATCTTTTGGTTTAACTGTCTCAACGCACAAATGAATAAACTTAAGACACAAAGCTATTAACTTGCACATGGAGGAGCTAGAACCTAAAGCCAAGTCTTCTGATTCCGTGTCCCATTCTATGCCATGCTGTCTCACTGGATAAACGTGGTTTGCTCCAGAGATTTAAGGACCGCCTGGCGATAATGAGAGTTTGAGGAACAGTGGAATTAAGGTTGGAAAGGTAAGTCAGGGCTAGATTATCACAACCTTTGAATGCCAGAGTGAAGAGGCTTCGTTTTTCTGAAAGGCAGTAGGGAGCTATCACCGGGTTTTATACAGAAGCATGGCATAAATGAGCACTGAGGAAGATTAACTTTGCACCAAAGTGTAAGATGACTGGCAGTGCCAAAGCTGGGAGACCAAACAGGAGCCTAGAACAGTTTAAGTGTTAAGAATGTGATGATCTGATGTAGAAGTGTAAATGAAAATAATTTTTTAAATAATAAATATGAGAGACATGGTAAAGTATTTTAAAAAATTACAGGACTTTATATCAAACTATACTCAGGATTCAAGCCTGGATGACTTGAAAAGTAACGTAAAAGTATAGCTATTTGGAAGCAAAGCTGTATAGGTAGTCTCAGACTTGTAATGGGGTTTCATTCCGAGAACTCCGTCGTAAGTCAGTTCTGATGAAAGTCGAATACCTATTTTTTTTTTAGTTTTCATTATTATTGCCTTTTATTATCAGTATCATCATAAAGCTGATCTTTGAACATCTGCGACTGAACATCTGAGAATAATAACATCAGCAAATCACGTGCTGCAACACTGTATGTAGTACATATTACTAACAATAAGATGTACATGCACACACAAAAGATGTTAAGCGCAGTTCATCATAATTAGCATATGTTGTAAGTCAGGGACTACCTGTATTTGTTATTGTGTGCCATTCAGTCCACTCTAACTCATCTCCATCCATACTCCACTCCTACCCCTGTTGCCAATTCCAACTCATAGTGACCCTATATGACAGAGAAGAACTGAGCCATGTTTCCTAGGCTGTAAATCTTTATGGGAAAAAATTGCCAGGTCTTTCCTCCCCTGTGGCTGTTGGATTTGAACTGCCACCTTTGGGTGAGCAGCCAAGTGCTTAACCATTGTACCAGCAGGGCTCCTTAAGTTGTATTTAGAATAAAACAATTTCAGTCTTGACTAATGAAGTCAAGTCCCCTAAGTCACTTGAGAAACTACTACTTAGCTGTAGGAGTAGGATATCTGGAACCTACTAGGTCAGAGTGAGAAAAGCTAAAGCCTTAAGCTATGTTTTCAGAAAGCATCAGATTTAAAAAAATAATAATAAAATATATTTCTTCTTACTGGCAAAAGTAAATATACGGCTTTCTTAAATAATTCATGGGGACCTTTTGAAAACCTAACATACTTCATTTTTCATTATAGCGGCATGGTGTTATGTAAATATAATATATACCATCATATTGCTTCATTGTACTTATCCATATTTTTAAACAGTGATAAATACAGCTTAATCATTATCTTACAATTCACTCACCTTCCTGATACCTAGCTCTTGGTAAAACATATATGTATATACTTTTTAAACAACATCTAATGGTAAATATTAAAAATTTTGTGCAAAGTACACCAAAGGTTCATGATTCACCATATAAACATACAACGGATACCTTTTTTGGTTTTTTCAGAGCCACAGGCTTCTCTCCCTTTTGTGTTCACTTCCTGTCAAGTTTACCATTTCAAAAGAACACCAAAGAAGCTTAAAAATTTGTTTGTAAGTAAAAAATTTGTTTGTTTGTAAGTCTGTCACCAAATCAGGACTCTAAAAATACAAGCTATTCACTATTACTGTACTAATGTACAAAATAGCCCTTCAATCAAACTTTGGGGAAAAAAATGATAAAGAAATATGTTCAATCTTTTCTTACTTAAAAGTATTTTGGCCAAATATTTGTATAACTGAATAAAGAAATGTGCTAATGTTTCATGACCACAGAAAAATTGTATGACAGAATCCAATCTTATGAGTCAGCTACGTGTTGACAACATTTAAAGGAGACTCAACTTTCCTATGACTCATTAAAATTTAATACAAGGAAATAGTAAATAACTAGCATTTCTTTTTTTTCCTCTTTTTTTTTTATTGTAGTAGTTTAAATGAAGTTTACATTTCAAGTTAGTCTCCCATACAAAATTTTATACATACATTGTTATGTGATCCGAATTGCTCACCCCAATCTGCGACAGCACATTCCTCCTTTCCGCCCCTGATTCCTCAAGTCCGTTCAACCAGCTCCTAACCCTCTCTGCCTTCCCATCTCACCTCTGGGCAGAAGCTGCCCCTTTGGTCTCTTGTATCTACTTGACTAAGAGGCACACTCTTCACAAGCATCTCTTTATGTCCCACAGTCCAGTCCAATCCCCATCTGAAGAGTTGGCCTCAGAAACTGTTTTAGTTCTGGGCTGATAGAGAATCCAGAGGCCATGCTTTGGGGCCATGCTTTCTGGGGTTCCTCTAGTCTCAGTCAGACCATTAAGTCTGGTCTTCTTACTAGAATTTGAGTTCTGCACCCCACCTTTCTCCTGCTCCATCAGGGACTCTCTGTTGTGTTCTCTGTCAGGGTGGTCATTGGTGGTAGCCGGGCACCATCTAGTTCTTCTGGTCTCAGGCTGATGAAGTCTCTGGTTTATGTGGCCCTTTCTGTCTCTTGGGCTAATGCTTTCCTTGTGTCTTTGGTGTTCTTCATTCTCCTTTACTCCAAGTGGTTGGGACCAATTGATGCATCTCAGACGGCAGCTTGCAAGCTTTTAAGATCTCAGACGCCACTCACCAAAGTAGGATGCAGAACATTTTCTTAATAAGCTTTGAAATAACTAGTATTTCTGTGCTCTACAGGTAAGTACTCCTCCAAAACAGTACTACTCAGAAGACCTGATACATTCAATACAGGAAAACAGGAACGATAAACTAAATATTCTCTTAAGTACACATATTTATAAACATTTTATCAAACATTAAATACTGTGCATACCCCTTCTAGCCATGAAGGAACAATTAGCAGAATGGAATACCAGAGTAGAGAGCTACACAGAAGGGAGAGATCTGCACAGAGAAGGCGCCAGAGGTCTGCAGTGGGTTCCTCTCGAGTCTTCAGCTGAGGAAACCATCCAAAGCTGGGAAAGAATCACTGGAAGCAGAACCATTGTAGGAGCTGACACAGGGCCAGAAGAATTGTGATTTCCACCATCCAGGGTGGAAAACCTTGTAATATATGGAACATTAGGCCAATACTCGAGACACGAGGAACTTGTAGCCCTTCTCATCCTCTCAACTAGAGCATACACTCTTGACTACAGTCTGTCTTAAGGAGCCCTGGTGCTGAAGGGGTTAAGCACCTCAGCTGCTAACCAAAAGGTTGGTGGTTCAAACATACCCTCCACAGGAGACTCCTATGGCTCAGTGCTACTCTGTACTATAGGATCACTATGAGTCTGAATCTACTCAGCAGGAACGGGTTTTTTTGGGGGTGGGGGTGGGGGGAAGTATGGGGGGAGTGGTGCAAATCGTTAGCACTTGGCTGCTAATTGAAAGGTCAGCAGTTGGAACCCACCCTCCATGGGAGATTCCTATGGCTCGGTCCTACTGTGAACTATAAGATCACTATGAGTCAGAACTTACTCCATGATTTTTTTTTTTTTTGGTGGGGGGAGTGGTGCAAACGGTAAGCACTTGGCTGCTAACCAAAAGGTTGGCAGTTCAAATACACTAGCCGCTGTATGGGAGAAAAAACCTAGCAATCTGCTCCCGTAATGATTATAGCCTTGGAAACCCTATGGAGCAGTTCAAGTCTGTCCTATAGGGTCGCTATGAGTTGAAATTGACTCGACGGCATGGGAGAGTCTGTCTGCTCTTCCCTGTCCAGTGATTTCTGGCAGTTGCTTTCTGTATTATGTACAGGTTTTATAGCTGTTTTTTGTAAGTGAGCCATGTAGTAGGTTCCTCCTTCATCATTACCAGATGTATATGTCCCCCACAGAAGGGTCTTAACCTGAGGAACTGACATGATGAGATTTTCACTATAAAAAGATCTCCCTGGCTGCTGTGAGAGAAATAGTCTTAAGGTGCCAAGGAATATGGGGGATCAATAGGAAGAGTCCATAATAGTCCAGAAAAGAGAGTCTGTTTAAGAATAAAGCACTTGGTGCCCCTTGGTTTACATAGACTGTGTTGAAAAAAACTGGATAAATTTTGAAAATACTGAAAGATGTTCAAATGTTATCTCATCCACTTAGTATTCCAAAAATCTAGAGGTCATCTAATCTAACCTTCGATACGGTTCATTCTAAATCACCTCTTGACCAGGTGCTGTCAAGTTGATTCCAACTCATGGTGACTCCATGTGTGTCAGAGTAGAACTGTGCTCTGTAGATGGTTTTCAAGGCTGGGACCTTTCAGAAGCAGACTGCCAGACCTTCCTTCCGAGGCACCTCGGGGTGGGTTCAAACTGCAACCTTTCAATTAGGAGCCATGTGCTTAACCATCTGCACCACTCAGGGTATCCTAAATCACCTCCGTTGTTGTTGCAGTGAGGTCGATTCCAACTCATAGTGACCTTACAGGACAGAGCAGCACTGCCCTAATATGGTTTCCAAGACTGTATTCTTTACGGAAGTTGCTTTTATATGGCCTTTCTCACCATTGTCTTGTAACTCCCACCAAATGACTGTGTGGGGCTATGCAAATTGGGTGCTTGTGGCCCACCAAGGGGATTGGACAGTTTGCTAATAATGTAAATAAGGTGCATGGCACCCTTGTGGGTGGGACCCTGTAAATAAGGTGTATGAACCCTAACAAGGAGATTGGTCAGTTTTGCAATTCCGCTAGGCTTAAAACAGAGCCAAAATTCCAGAGCAGAGTGGGACCTCACTACCACTAAGAACAAAAGATAGAAGTGGAGCAGAGGGTGTCCTTTGGATCTGGGATCCCTGTGCTGAAATCCTCCTAGACCCGGGAGACAGAGCTGTAACACCGAAGACAGCAAGAAGCAGAGGCAGAGATATGGCAGCAACAGAGGCAGCAGAACCAGGAGACCATAGGAGGCTTTCTGGCAGAGTGGGGTGCCTCTGGGCACTTATTGGAGTTACGCTCACTGACCACAGAACGACAGAGCTAGGCGCCTTCAGGCCAAGGCTTACTGGCAAAGTAGGGTGCCTCCAGGCACCTATTGGCAGAGCTAAAAGACCTTTGTAACACTTGCCCAAGCAAGGCAGAGGCTGAAGGGCCAGAGACAGGTGTGTCTGCAGGCACGGCTGAGAAGAGGCTGTCCTGATCAAAGAACTGTATCCTAAGCATTCCTGAACCTAAATTGTAGCCTGTCATTTCCCTGGTGGTGCAGTGGTTAAGAGCTCAGCTGCTAACCAAAAGATCGGCAGTTTGAATCCACCAGCCACTCCTTGAAAACTCTATGGGGCAGTTCTACCTTGTCTTATGGGGTCACTGTGAGTCGAAATCGATTCAACAGCAATGAGTTAGTTTTAGTTTTGGTACTTCCCTAATAAACCCCATAATTGTGAGTACCGTGCTGTGAGTTCTGTGTGGCCACTGCAACAAATTATCAAATCAGCAGAGAAGTAGAGAGTGCTGTGGGAGAGACAGTCGGTGTCAGAATTGGTAAAAAGGCTGGAAGGTGGAGACATGTCTCACCTCTACCTCACAGGAATCAGCCTTGGGCTGTTGATTTTGATTCTCCTTCCTCCTTGTGAAGTTAGAGGAGGTAAGACACCCCTACCACACCATTCTTACGGAAGTAAATTGCCACATCTTTCTCCCACAGAAGGGCTGGTGGATTTGAATCGCTGACCTTTCGGTCAGTAGCCGAGTGCTTACCCACAGCACCAACAGGCTCCTTCAAATCACCTCTGATCCCTCAAATTTCCAGAAAACAAAATTTCATTAGGTTTTTCAGTAGATTGTCTCGCATTTTATACTCATATATTGCCTGCTAAACGCTCTAGGATCAAAATAAAAGTATGCCCATTCTTTCTTTCTTTTTTTAAAATAAATAATTTATTTTGTTGTTGTTGAGAATATACATAGCAGAACATAAACCAATCCACGATTTCTTGCTTATTCCTTCTTAAAGTTATTATGTTCTTAATTTATATTTGTTAAGATTGACAAGCAAAGATGCTGAACCCTTTCCCCATCCAATACTTGAAAAGTATAACGATGCTCTTTCTTTCATTAAATTATTGGGGAGGGGTAAGTAGTACCTCATCTGATGATTCCCTAGGTGAACACTGCTTGAATAGTTCCCATTAATCTACAGTTTTAATAAGAAAGTTTTATTGTGATAAAGAATCAAAAGACTATGAAAGCTTGCTCTGATTCTTGATCTGGAAGTTGGTTACATGGATGCACTCAGTTTGCAAAAAAATTCATTGAACTGTCACTTGCAATATACACTTTTCTGTATCTATATAATACCTCAATTAAAAAAAAAAAAAAAACAACTTTCAAGTCTGAGGAAGCTCAAATATGTCTACAGTCTGTGTCCCCTCTATAATGCCAACTATTCTCACAGGAAGATTTCACAGTCCCCTATTTATGTGGCATGACTGATCTTCCCAGAGTTATCCACTATCACTCTATTTCTTTTACGATTAAAAAAGCAACATATGCTTATTTTTTTAAGCTGAAACATTAGAAATGTATGAGCAAAAAAAGTTCTCCAGAGATACTATAATTAGAATTTAAATTCAGAGGCTTATGACTTCCGTATCATCTTATCATAAATAAACTGTACCCTTTTCCAGAGTTTGAGCATGTTATTTTCTCTTCAAAATTTTTCAGAAATAAAGGAATATTGTTTAGGATCCTAAAACACCAGTAATCGAGCTAAACAGGCTTGAGTACAAGCAGTTTTTAACTAGTAAATTTCCACTAGTTACTTTTCAGAGCCCTTCTCTTTTCTATATCCTCACAATGTCTACCCCAATGCAAGGTATCCAAGAAACATTTAATAAAAGTTTTCTGATGGAAAAAGAGTTAGTTCTGTAAAAGAAATGAGAATGGTCACTTTCATATCTTACAGTAATGTCTTAATTTCATATTTTGAGGGGCAGGGGAAGGGGCACATCAGCCTCTGAAAAGTACCCTCTAACTCTTCTCTATGGTTATTTTTGCTGCTTTCATTTAATCCCTCATTATCAGAGCTTTTTCCTAGCCACTCCTTTTCCTATAAAATGGAAGCTCCTCACATAAGGAGTCACCAAATTCAGTAACAGCAATGTAACACACTTTCTCTGCTTCTTTCCTGTATCCACTATGTTTACATAACATGGCAATACAAGAAAACACTAAGAAAGAAGTCATCTTAGTCATTAAATTTTCAAAAACAATTTCAAAATTAAAACTAAGGTTATACGAGTAGATCCAGACTCTAATGTGACTAAAGTCCTAATTTTTTGTTAACCATTTCTATATATTGGTATAAATTAAAAGATATATGCTTAGCATGCAACATAGTTTCAACTATGAAAAGAAAGCAACCTTTTATTAATGTACAAATTTGATGATTCACAAAGTACTACCTAACTATGCAGATTTGAAGAGCATTAATAAAAAAACCTGAAATAAGTAATATTTTACTATTACTACACAGGAAATGCCACCTTTATTAAAACAAAAGAGTTTATCAATAACTTATTATATGCTACAAGTAGAATACCTAGAGAATATGATGTGTGCTCCTATGATGCTTTAAACAATACCTACAACTGAACAATAGTATATAGTTTTGGACTATTTGTAACAACGGGACAAAATGAATCCTACTAAATTGAAAGAGGAAAAAATGTACTTTTTAATCTGCTAAATACCATAATGTCAAAAATTTTATCATTTTGTTGAAATTTAAGAGCAGACTTTATATTTTCAAACATGACACGTTTATTTTAAATAAATTACCCAAATATTTTAAAGAATTCTGCTTTGTTTTAGGGTGGCATGCTTTAAGAAAAGCTGTTCTTAAATAAATCACTGTATCAGATGACTTGGGAAGCTCAAATAAAACACTATTCTAATATTCCACTTGATTGATGGGCTATACACTAAAATCACATTATTTATTACATTGCATACTTGTTCTTGAAGTAGGTTTTAATAAATATCCCTAATAATTTGTTAGGCATATGCATATATGTAAATATCTTTAATTATTTTAGCTAGTTACTTACTGAGAGCCATGCAAGGGATTCCATGATTCGATGTTCACATCTTTCTAAATGTTTTATCATTTCTCTTGTCAAGTTGGCTTCTGCTTTGATAAAACTTTCAATCACTTTGTAAAAATCAAAGGCTTTTAAATTAAGTACATTCAGAATCCATGGGAAGGACAAATCTGTTCCAGAATCAAGATTCTGAGATGTACTTCCTAAAAATGAAAGAAGAAATGTAACTTAGGTATGAAATGTTAAGCCTTGAACTAGGTATTTTTAGGTTGGACATAGACTTAAAACAGTAGAAAGGCTAAAAAAAAAAAAAAAATCATTTAGGGCAGAATTTTTTATTTTGGAGGCCACTGACTCCTAGGAAATAGGCTTACAAATTTTGGGTGTATGTGCACATTTTTTATTTTTCCTAGAAAGAAGGCTCATAGCTTTCATCAAATTTTCAAAGGTTTAAATACCCTAAAACTTGTATCACAGTTCCTATCAGGTTTAATATTACCCCAGCAAGGCATAAGCATATCCTTTTTAACTCACTCATTAATCCTTTGGGAGGGGTAAGGGGTAGAAGGAAGGGTTATCTAAGGTTTTACTAATTTGATTAGTTAGAAAATGGTATCTCTTTTAAATGTGCATTTCATGGTTATTAATGAGGATTCACAGTTTACCATATTTGTTTACTAATTTAAGTTCCTCTTTTATTAACTGTGTAATTATTATTATTCTTTTGTTTTTGCAAAAATAATACATATTTAAAATTATATTTAAAAAAACAAAAAACCCTAAACACTCATTGAACTTTGTTCTGTGTATCTGGTGGATTCTAGCTCCAGCCTTTGGTCTCATGACCACAGAGTCTACAGTAGAGCTTCCATATCGATAGAGGCTGCTCTTTAATATTCCCTTGGCACTTTACAATCTCATAGGTACTGAAGGGGTTTTAACAGGTACCTTCCCTGGATTCAGTACGCCCAAAATAGGAGCCTAGTGAAATACTATCCCCAAGATGATCTGAAATAATTCAGATAATAAGCCATTTAAATGCCTTATGACCAATTACATTCTTCAGTATATACTAATATAATATATACATTTCTTTTCCTTAACCCTACCCCCAAAAAACACACCACACCTTAGGAAGTCTCTTAACTTCAAATTGAACTAAAATGTTTATTTATTAAAATTTAACTTACTGCTATATGTAGCCATTACAACCTCAAGAGCGCATGCCAACAAAGACTTATGAAAGATGTTGTCATTCAGGAGTTTGCTAAAGGAAACAAAAAAAACATGATTTCAAAGCATTTATTTTTATAAAAAGGAAGACTTTTTTTTTTTTTAACTAAAACTAAAAAACTTACCTAAAGTTTTGAATGGATAATCGTTCTTCTTCCTAAAACACAAAATTTTTTTTTAAAGTTTTTTTAAAAACTAAAACCCTGTCTGTGCCAGCAATGAATTTTTTTCTTTATTATGTTCTTTTTAACTTACCGATTTAAGCATTGATTCCATTACTCGATAATACAATCGGACTCCAAGTTTGTATCGCTACAAACAAAAAAAAAGCATAAGATCCTAATATTTTAAAAAACCATAATTACTAATTTTCTAAAAGTCTTTTCTTGAAACACACTTCTGATTCTTCTTAGGAATAAGGCTACCAGGAGATCACAAAACCTCACTTGTCTAAAACTCAAAAGACTTAAGTATAAAGTGGTGGTTAACATTCCCAATAAATTATCAAGAGGGTATGTTTAGTACATGGTTTTCCTTCACTCCATTTCAGTGTACATCATTCAACAGTTACATATTGTAAGGATATATTATGTGTCCCATACTATTCTAAGCAATTCAAATACCTAATGTAATACTTCTTGTAACTTAGGACACGTATTTTCAAGACAGATGCCCAGACTTAAGAGAACAGTCTCTATCCATATAAGTGAGTAAAACTGGCACAGGCAAAATTCAGACAAACTGACCTTATCAGCAAAAAGTTTTAACCAAATAACAAGTCACCATCAATTCAAAGAATGACCAAATTTAAGCAATATATACATATATGTATATATATACATATAAATATATACGCACATAAAGACCATATTCCTTTGTTCCAAATTATGAGAATGTATTTCATATACAACCAAAAAGAACTTATAAATGTAATTGTTTAAAATATTGATGACATCAAAATATACCCTCACTATGGTGAAATAAATGTGTGTAGTCGATTACAGTTTTTGGTTTTTATATATGACCTCATTAATGCCACACAACAAAGCACAGCAAATATGAAAACTTGAATCTCAGGAAGTTAAATACTATGTCCAAGATCAAACAGCTCATAAATGGTAGAGGCAGAAATAAAGCTAGGCCTGTGACTCCAGAGCCCATATTCTTACCCATTATAGTGGTTTTTTGACTTTCTGAAATAATAATAATAGTAAAAATATCACTCAATAGTAGTATCTCTGAGAAATGACATGTAAACTATAATCCCATCATAGAAGCATATACAAATATGAGTATTTATATATGTGGAAGCAAAAAGTAAATCTACCAAAAGTTAATACTATAAACACTTAAATTATCAAAGATTTTAATTTTTTTCTTACTTGTATTTTTCTAAAATTTCTGTAATTAGCATGTCTACTTTTGTTTTTTATGATGGAGTAGGGAATGGTTTCTCATCAAGTTTCCTATAAACAGCAGCAAACACAGGCGACAGGATAAAGCAACTGCTTTGTATTTAGTTGAACAGATACTGCCTTTAAAATTATTTACCATATGGTGGCATTAATTAAAATGAACTAAAGTTACCTGTAATCCAATTTCAATACATCCTTGTCCCACAGCTCTAGCAAATTTCTCTTTAAAGATGCAGCCAATATCCTTTACTCTCTTCAGGATACTTTCCTTTGGATTCACTGTGCAGTTCTTTAAGAAGAATAAACAGAAATCAACTTTGAGGATATCCTCAATTTAACCAGAATTAACATTTTCTGTTCCATAATGTATGATTTTTAAGTTTCAATTATTTATAAAAATGTGGAAACACTTCTACAATAAGCTGGTGACCACAACTACTAAAAATAAACAAACAACAGAATTTCATTTTTGGATGTTAGTGACCAAAAAACACTGGAGTATAACTAAAAAATCTACTTTCTAAATTTTCTGCTCCTAGAGCTACTGAAGGAGCCCTGGTGGTGCAGTTGTTAAAAGCTCGGCTGCTAACCGAAATGTCATCAGTTTGAACCCACCAGCTGCTCCACAGGAGAAAGATGTGGCAGTTGGTTTCCATAAAGATTTACAGCCTTGGAAACCCTATGGGGCAGTTCTACCCTATCCTACAGGGTCTCTATGAGTCGGGATCTACTCAACGGCAATGGATTTTTGGTTAGAGCTACTGAAGAGTATATTTGTTAGCCCTATCACCCGTCAAAAAGAGCCTCATAATTTTTCTTAAAATATTTCAATTAAGAGTTATACTGGAATGCATGGTAGCTCCCAAAAAGCAAATGAAAGAAGTAAAACTAAAATCTGACCTTGTTATCATTTCCTAATTTAAAATTGTGCTTTGAAAGAGTTAAGAATTGACTAAATCAAATGGAATAACCGGAACAGAAATAATGAGAACGTTCATGCATTGTGAAAAATGAAACCAATGTCACTGAACAATTTGTGTAGAAACTGCTGAAGGGGAACCTGAACTGCTATGTAAACCTTCACCGAAAACACAATAAAATACTATTAAAAAAAAAAAAGAATTAACTAAAACATTTAGCAATGTTTTTGCACATAAGATAGGGACAAAGTTATAAAAGAAGTTCTAATACATACATCATTTGGGGCAGGGGTTACATCAACTTTAACAATTAAAATGCATTGCAAGATGGTGTATTAAAATGCATACTATAATGTATTGAAATATTCTGTAGTTCATATAACGATGTATTAAAATATATCACAAACTTGATTCTTATCAGTTATAACCAAAGATTGATTTTATCTTTTATAAACTTTATAGACCAAATATATTCAAAATATTATACACTAGAAAATAAACTTTCTTAAATTAAAAACATAATTTTCTTTGATATGTGCACAGTCACTCAAAAATTTCACACTCTAGAATATCAATAATTCTATTAACCAGAAAGAAAATAGCGTGCAAGACTTAGAAACAGTAACTAAGAAACATTTCCTGTCATAAAATCTTGTTGCCACAACAGCCACTAAAGCTTCTAAGATTTTACTTGCACACAAAAGGGAAGATGACTAATTTAAAACATGATGAAACCTGAACTAATAAAGAAACAATAACAAGGAAAAACTTAATGATCTTCAATACATGCCCACTCTGAGACAGCCAATTTGTAGTCCACAGAAAACTTTGAAGTTAAGTTGTTAAGCTTAATTTAAACTTAAGTTAAGCTTTAAACTGAGTTCCAGAGAATGTCTTTGAGGGAGAATTTTTCTGCCCACCTAAAACAGTTCAAAATTAAGAAAGAGCTCCTACATACTGCAAAAGTTGGGAGGAAGTATTCAAAACAATATTTGAGAAAAGAGAGATTATGATTCCTTTAACTTTGATCATTATCCTTGCTAAAAGATTTCAGTAACTGTGTAGACTTTTTTTTGTTAAATATTCCATACTACAGATAACCCACAAACAAAAATAACTTTATGTAAGTTGGATAAACAAAATCAGTTTTGAGCCAACACAATTAGGAATATGATGAGAGAAACTAATTTGCTAATTCCTCCAGGGGAACATAAGCAAGAAGATGGCAAGAAAACATGGCATAATTACAAACACACTTTGGTAGTAAATGAATCGTTAATAAATACAGAAGACACATAGCTACTGGAACAAAGCCAGATTTTAATGTCTCCTGACCCTATCTGATTGTCCTGGTTGAGCATTTCAGTGAGTTTAACTATGGACTGAAGCAGCAAGCAGGCAATATATATGCCAGTTCTCATTCTCTTTTCTCTTTTTTTCTGTGGGTGGGGAGTGGCAGGGAGAACACTGAGGTCTTCAGATAGCAAACTCAGGGTCTATCGAGAGTTGCAAACTGCAATGCGCACAGCGTCAAGCAACTAATGTGAATGAGAATGGGCTAGATATAGGATAAAAGGGACTGTAGGAACATGACAACGCTAAATTCTGTCTAAATGCATTCAGATTACTATTATTTTTACAACATCATGGCCTAAAAACAAAACACACCTCATTACAATGTACTGGATCTCAGTACAGATGCCAGTTTGCAACCCCTGCTTTAGATGAATGGCTCGTCTTCATAAAATGGAAAGGGGCCAGTCAAACATCGCCACTATTCACTACAAATGATATCAAGGGATCACATTTTAGACAGTCACTAACTGTAAGAGAAATGAAGGCCTTCTAACTATAGATGGAGTTCCTAACTAACTTTGCATTCTTATCTCCCTTCTAAGAATAGACTTGCTTCAAGTTGGTTGCATTTTCCCACACCCGAGAAATGTAAAAATCTTCAAATCAGACTTGTTTCCCTTTGGAGCAGCATAAATGAGGTAACACGCTGATTTTATATGTCATCTCAGATATCAAAAGAAAACAAAACAGAAAATCCGAGAGCACTAATTTTAGTAAAAACTCCAATTTTAAAAACAAACATAAAACATCCACCTTTGAGTTGCTAAAAAATGTGTAATATACCTTTGAAGTATGTTGATGAAAATTCAGTAAATTTTCACAATTTCTTCAGTCATAAAATAAGTCACATACTTTATAACTTTATCAATTTTATGGAATAATATAAATACTAAGTCAGAAATGGATATAGATAAATCTGATTATACGAAAACAAAAATTTTTGCATGGCAAAGACACCATAAAGCAAATTAAAAACACAAATAACAAACTGAGAAAAAGTTAACAACTTATAACACAAACAAAGGACTAATATCCCTAATTATTCTATGATATATTCTAAACACAGAGAGAAAAAAAAACCCAACAACCCTATGAAAAAATGGGCAGAGAAATGAACACAGTTTTCAGAAAAAGAAATGCAGATGGATTTGAACCATTTTAAATAATGCTTATGACCTCACTTACAGTAAAAATATAGTTTAAAATTACACTGGGAAATCATTTCTCAGCTGAGAGACTGGGGAAAATTCCAACGTATGACAACGTCCTCTGCTGATGAGGTGTGGGGCAATAAGCACTGTCATGTGTCGCTGGTGGATTACAAAATGATGCAAGACTAACAGAGGGAATTTGGCAATATCTAGCAAAATAACATAAGCATTTACCGTTTTTAACCAAAAATCTCACTTCTAGGAATTTATTCCCAAATACACTTGGGGAAAAAAGGCACAAGGCTATTCTCTGTATGACTATTTTTAACACTTATAATAGCAAAAATCTAGAAACAACCCAAATGTTCATCAACAAGAAACTGGTTTAAAAAATTATGATACAAACACAAGGCAGTACTATGGGGTACTAGATAGAGAAGAGTGTGATTATACTACCCCACTGCTGTTGAGTCGATTCTGACTCATAGTGACCCTACAGGACAGAGCAGAACTGCCCCACAGGGTTTCTAAGGAGCGGCTGGTGGATTTGAACTGCCTACCTTCAGCCAAGCTCTTGACCACTGTGTCACCGGGGCTCCAAACAAATGTGGAAGGAGATATGTGTACATGTTTATGTATACACACTAGGTAGTACAAACCATTTGGACTTGACTGCTAACCTAATGGTTGGTGGTTCAAATCCACCCATCAGTACTGTGGAGGAAAAGGCCTGGTGATCTGCTTCTGTTAAGATTATAGACAAGAAAACCCTATGGAACAGTTCTCTCTGTAATGCAGGAGGTTGCCATGAGTCAGAATTGAATCAATGGCAACTAACAACAACAACACATCACATATAAAGGCACACACACACTTACATTAAGAAAAAAAATTAAAAACAAAAACAAAAAAACAGACTGGTCATACAGAGCAAAATATGGGAAGGGAAGTAATAGGATGAAAGGGACTTGGAAAGAAATCTTTGAATATATTCTATTTTGTATATTTGATCTTTAGAACTATGTAATGTTTTGTATAACATTAAGATAAAATTATATAAATAAAAATGCAATTTTGAAAAAGCATTAAAAAAAAATGAAACAAATGAATCAAGATTGTCATTTAGCTGGTGGCATAACCATGCCAAAAGAAATTTTCAAAGTGACTTGAAAACCCAGCAATTTGACTATGTATCTCTAGTAAGATATATCCTAAGGAGCAAAGGAAAAAAATGGTAAAAAACAAAAAAATCAAAAATGGTTTCCAGTAATTATATTGTTATTGGTGGTATTAGTATTATTCTACAGCTGTTGTGTGGAATGATGTTCTAATTCTATCATTCTAAGATTCTTGGCATGGGAGAAAGATACAGATGTCAGATAGATGAAGTTAATTTAAAAACTCTATAACTCTATATTTGAAATGAAAGTATTAGTTTGAACTCATGATAATTTTTAACATTTAATTTTTTTATTTTAAGATAATCTCAGACTTACAGAAGAGTTGCAAAAGTAGTAGAGCGTTCCCTATACCCTTCACCAAGCTTCCCCTTATGTTAATGTTAGAACATTTATCAAAAATAAGAAATTAACCTTGTTACAGTACTATCAACCAAAATACAGAACATATTCAAATTCCACAAGTTTTCAAACTAATCTACTTTCTATAGTCCAGGATCCAATACAGTATCCTACACTGCATTTAGATGTCATGTCTCTGAAGGCTTCTCCAATTTGGGTCAGTTCCTCAGTCGCTCCTTGTTTTTTCATGACTTTGAACATTTCAAAACCACTAGTTAGTTATTTTGTAGACTGTTCCTCAGTCTGAGTTCATCTAGTGTTTTCTTATTAGACTGAGATTATGAATTATTAAAAACTCATGATAATTTTGTCTTAAAATTTATTTTCTGTTTTCTCAACTCAAAAAGTCAAACCAGAAAGAGAGAGTCACTCCTTAGGGGGCATTGAGCTTCTGTGAAGGGTGATTAAAAAAATGTGGAAGTGGGTAGTAGTGATGGTTGCACAACATGATGCCATAATTAATGTCGCTGATATGTACGTGTAAACAATGTTGAGATGGCAAATATTTTGTTATATATATACTTACCACAATTAAAAAAAAAAAAAAAAAGCCTACCCAGTAGTAGTGAGTACTATTAACATCTAATAGTAAGATAAAGAAACTTTTCTCACTTAAAGGTGTGAAGGCTCTTTAGAGAAATAACCATTCCTGGTCTGAGATAGGAAATGTACAGCATGAGCTTTGAAAAATGTGCTCAACCAAAGACACCATCAGATATACCTAAGGTCAGGTCAGAAGTACTTAGAAGCCTAATTAAAGAGGCTTGCATTTGTTAGAGATGGGACAATTTGAACATATGTAACAATAATAACTACAATGGATTGAAACATATTAAATATGTTGAAATCCACAGGTTAATAATAATATTGAAAGCTTAGGGGGCAGTGAGTTTATGTTAACAGGGGAGGAACAACTCAGAAAAGGAGGCTGATAATGGATGTATAACATGAAGAATATAATCAATGTCACTGAATGTACATGTAGAAACAGTTGAATTGGTGTATGTTTTGCTGTGTATATTCTCAACAACAACAAAATAAAAAGAGAGGGAAAAAAAAAAAAGAAAAACAGTAAGAAGGAGAAGAAGAAAAAACTAAAACAAAAGACCAAACAAAAACCTAGTTAGTCACCACTGGAGCATGCTAGAAAATCAATTCATTATTTTGAAAGCAGGCTAATAAACTAAACTTTTATCCTACCTTTCCTATATGCACTATATCTCTGAGAAATCAAATAGTAGATGAGAGTAAGTTATCTAAATAGGCATTCCAACTAATAAAGAAGGAATGATAGAATTGGAATATTACTATTTAAAATCTCTAATAAATTAACGGAGGCCTGGTTGCACAGTGGTTATAATTAGTTCCTACAAATAGAATGTGGTTAAGAGCTCATATAGCCACAACAATGAACTCACACATCAACGATCATGAAGACACACAGGACTGGGCAACATTTCATTCTGTTATACGAAAGGTCACCATGAGCTGGAGCTGACTCAGTAACAACTAACAACAACAACAATAATAAACCGATAGATTGAGGCCTCAAGCACAAACAGCTGCTAACATCACAAGACACACCAGACACAACATGCCTCCTGGTAGAAGAATACAATGCAATCTATGAAGTAATCATACCAAAAAAAAAAAAAATCTGTATCTGACCAAAATTCTAGATCCAACAGCCAATGCAGGAAATACAGAGGACAAAGAAACATATCAAAGAACATTAGAGGAGATATAATCAGCAAAATCCAAAACGTAGGTTTCTTCACACTAGTTTCTTCTAAAAATAGTTGAAAAAAAGAGAGAGAAAGACAAATGGGGTGGGGGGCAATCTAGAGATTAAGAGTTTTAAGAAACAGAGCAACCAATAGCATCACCTTTTTGGACCCTGAACAAACTAATACATATGTGTCATATATGTAGTACACGTGAATATGATGCATAGCTGTAACATTAATGAGATCATTGGTAATTTGAATAATTGGATATTTGATAATATAAGAAATTACTATTTTTTCTTTTTGGGGGTGTATGATATTGGTATTGTGTTTTCTTTTTTTAGAAAGAGTTACTTTCTTTTAGAGTTAAATATTGAGATACTTACAAGTGTAACGATCAGATGTCTCAATTGGCTTCAAAATAATATGGAGAGGTGAGTGGGAGTATAGATGAAATATGAGTTGATAACCACTGAAGCTGGGTAATGTGTACTACGGTGCGACGGATCACTTTCGTGTGGCCTTTCTAGCCATGGTCTTGTAACTCCTCCCCAAGTAACTGGGCAGGACTGTGTGATAGGGTAATTGTGGTCCACTAAAGGGACTGGTTAGTTTTGTCATCCCTCTGGGCTTGAACTGAGCCACCTCAGAGACAGGAAAGAAAAAAGATCCCAACACCACCAAGGAAGAACAGCCAGGAGCCAGCACATCCTTTGGACCTGGGATCCCTGCGCCGAGAAGCTCCTGGAAGCAGGAGACTGAGAGAGCGAGCGAGCTGTAACCCTGAAGACAGTGAGAAGTGGTAGCAGGAGAGACCCAGCAGCAGAGACCCAATAGCAGGGAGACAGCATGGTGGGCTTCCCAGCCCATGGAGAGAGAAAGCTGAGTGCCTTCCGGCAGAGGTCGAGGGCCAAGGAGAGGCGTGCCTGTGAGGACAGCTGGGAAGAGGCTGTCCTGATGGAAGAGCTGTAACCTGAGTGTTCCTGAGCCTGAATTATAACATGTTACTTCCCTAACAAACCCTATAATCATGAATATTGTCTGTGAGTTCTGTGTGGCCATTGCAATGAATTGTTGAACCCAGCAGAGAAGTAGAGTGCCGTGGGAGGGATGGTTGGTGCCAGAATTGGTAAAGAAGGCAGAGAGAGGAGGCATGTCTGACCTCTGCCTCATGGGAATCAGCCTTGGGCTACTGATCTTGATTTTCCTTCCCCCAATGAAGTTAAAGGAGGTCAGACACTGCCCCCATGCCGTTTTTACATGTACTGAGGCTTCATTATATAGTCTCCTTACTTTTACATGTGTTTCACATTTTCCACCATGAAAAGACTTTTTTTAGAAAAGAAAACAGAATCAAAGAAAGGCAATACAACCCTATAGGACAGAGTAGAACTTCCCCATAGGCTTTTCAAGTCTGTAAATCCTTACAGAAGCAGAATGCCACATCTTTCTCCTGTGGAGGAGCTGGTGGGTTTGAACTGTCAACTTTTTGGTTGACAGCTGAGTGCTTAACCACTGTGCCACTAGGGCTCAATGGCTGATAATGTTCAGAATTCTCAGATGAAGGAATCAGAACAAATGCAAAACAGCGTAAATAAAATGACATCCACACCTAGTCCAACTATAAAACATTGCATTCAAAGAAAAGATCTTAAAAACAGCCAGAGTCAAAGATAGATTAACTACAGAGGAATAACAGGTTGACAGACAACTTCTTAACAGCAACAATGAGGGCCAGGAAGCACTAAGATTAAAAAAAAAAAAAAAAAATCCTGTTGCCATTGAATCAATTCTGACTCATAGTGACCCTGTATGACAGAGCAGAACTGCCCCATAGGGTTTCCAAGGAGTGGCTGGGGGATTCAAACTGCCAACCTTCTGGTTAACAGCCAAGCTCTTAATCACTAAGCCATCAGTGATCCAGTAAGACAGTATCTTTAAATTTCTAAGAGAAAGTAAATGTCAACCTAGAATTGAACATTCAGGTAAACTATCTTACAAAAATAAGGACAGAGATATTTTCAGACAAGAAAAGAAACAAACAAAAAACCTTGTAAGTCACTCCACATAGACCCTTGCTAAAGGAATTATTAAAGAATGTATTTGAAGAAAAAAGAAAATGATCTCAGGAGTGAGGTTTAAGTTGCATGAAAGAATAGTAAGCAAGGTAACTGGTAAACATGAATAAATCTAAAAACAACACTGACTAAATAAAACAATAATAATATCTAATTTGGGGGCTTTAAAAAAGCAAGAAATAAAATAAAGGGCAACAACATGCTGGATGGGAAGTAGGTGTTTAAATAAATACTCAATATGTTAACTTCTAATTTCAAATATCTTCACCAAGATATCATCACAAATAATATTTTACTAATGGCTTACATTAAAATAGGAAATCAGATTTTCTGATGGTTGATCACTTGCTGAATTTAAGATCATCATTAATTGCTGAATAGTATTCATAACAGTCCTAAAGAAAACAAACAGAAAGAAGTGTTAAGCAATGAAGGAAACAAATAAAATGTATTTATTCCACAAGTTAAACATATCTCCAAACTCACTGTCTACTCTTTATCTTTAAGAAGTTTGCTTAAACAAGACTTTACAAAATTCTCAGTGTATTGCTGATAACAAAGAATTATATTTTATTTCAATCTTTAAGATGTATTCATAATTAGTAAGTTTATGATTATAAAAGTGGACACTTATTTACTAATGAAACCATATATCCATAAAGCATTAACTGGTCAAACTAATGAGATTATTTTCAGGAGAAAATACATAAACTGACAACAAAATGGTATTCTTTCAGCGGCGGGGCCAAGATGGCAGAGTACTCAGATGGCTTTCTATACCCCTCTTACAACAAAGACCTGGAAAAACAAGTGATTTGATTGTATATGAATATCTAGGAGCCCTGAACAAGGCAAAGCTGAGGAATCGGACTAAGTGGCCGGGGGAGAGGGAGACGGTTCTGACGAAGCGAGAAGTGCCAGACCAGACTCGCTTGGCTGGAGCCCCAACTCATCAGCCCCAACTGGGTCTGACATATGCAGTGAAGCAGGCAACAGCTCTGCACGCACGCTCGGGAGGCAGTGTCCACATCGAGAGAGATCTGGCAGCAGAGATTCTACTTGGACACTCCAAACCAGTGAAAAGCAGCTCCCAAGTGGCTAAAGATAAGTACATGCGTGCGGCCTTTCGCAGAGATTTAAAAAAGAAAAAAAAGCCCATTTGGGAAAAACCTCTCTCCCTTTTACATCCTCCCTCCCAGCTCTGCACCGGTCCGGCCTTCCAAAGTCTGAGTCCACTGGGCCGGAAGTAGATCCCAAAAGGCACCCTGACCCATTTTCCTGGCCTTAGAGAGGGAACAAATAAGCTACTGGCTCCCCTAAGCCAGGAACTCAGGGTCGGCACAGCTCCTTTGCTAGGCACAGGCATAAGGGGTCTACAGACTTTGAGTGCCTTACACCCCTGTATAGACCTGTAGGGAACCATCTCAACAGCGTAAGCCCTCACTAGCAGAGTACAACAGGGTAAACATCTGAAGTCTAACTTCAACTGTTTCAGCTGTGAAGTGGCAGATTTGTGATCCTCGACACAGCCCTGCCCTTTGAGCAGGCACCTTTACTGATCCGCACCAGGGGTTTGAGGAATCTTGACTCCACCTATGCCACATAGTCACCTGCTACAGGGGTCCAAGAATAAGTGGTGCCCTCGAGTCTTTACAGCCAACAGAGTGGGGTGCTCATAGTCCGGCTGCAAAACTCACCTACCTACTCGCTCTAGGGAATAGGGACATGCTTTCCTTTCAGACTCTCAGGGGCAGTCGTCAGCCCCCTGCCTGGCTCAGTGCGTGACCCCTACTTCAGCCAGATACTTGTGCCTACACCAATCACCCATGCCTCTAACTGTAGGTGAGAGCCTACACCACACACTTGATGTCTGACTACCTGGACACCTGAGCTGAACCCATACAGGAAAATTTAACGGACTCCTGTGTGCTCATACTTAGATACAGAACTAACTACTTGGTGACAGGACATTAGAGCTTCAAAGGCATCAATAATCAAACTAGCGCATATGAGCAGCCTATTTGGGCATATTAAAACAAAATAAAACAAGAAGCTAGGACTCACTAAATAAATATAAAATAAAATTATAATAACTTATTGATGGCTCAGAGACAACAGTCAATATCAAATCACATAAAGACGCAGTCCATGATGGCTTCAGCAAGCTCCCAAAATAAAGAAATCAATAAATTCTCTGGAGGAAGAGAATTCCTTGGAATTACCAGAGGCAGAATACGAAAGATTAACATACAGAACTCTTCTAGAAATTAGAAAGGAAATTCTTCCAAATGCAGAAACATCCAAAGAAGACACAGACAAAGTAGTAGAGGAACTTAAAGAAGTTATTCAAGAACATAATGACAAATATAACAGGCTGCAAGAATCCACAGAGAGACAGCAATCAGAAATCCAGAAGATTAATAATAAAATTTCAGAATTAGACAACTGAATAGAAAGTCATAGGAGCATAATTGAGGCAGTAGAAGTTAGAATTAGTGACACTGAAGATAAAGCACTTGATGCCAACTTATTTGAAGAAAAATCAGATAAAAGAATTAAAAAGAATGAAGAAACTCTAAGGCTTATGTGGGACTCTATCAAGAGAAATAATCTATGAGTGACTGGAGTACCAGAACGGGGGAGATAACAGAAAATACAGAGAAAATTGTTGAAGATTTGTTGACCGAAAACTTCCCTGATATCATGAAGGTTGAGAAGATATCTATCCAAGATGCTCATCAAACCCCACATATGGTAGATCCCAAAAGAAAGTCACCAAGACATATTATAATCAAAATTACCAAAACCAAAGATAAAGAGGGAATTTTAAGAGAGGCTAGGGATAAAAGAAAAGTCATCTACAAAGGAGAGTCAATTAGAATAAGCTCGGACTACTCAGCAGAAACCATGCAGGCAAGAAGGCAATGGGATGACATATATAAAGCCTTGAAGGAAAATAACTGTCAGCCAAGAATTATATATCCAGCAAAACTGTCTCTCAAATATGATGGCGAAATTAGGGCATTTCGAGACAAACAGAAGTTTAGGGAATTTGCAAAAACCAAACCAAAATTACAAGAAATACTAAAGGGAGTCCTACGATTAGATAATCAATAACATCAGATAACAATGCAAGACTAGAACACAGGACAGAGCAACCAGATATTGACTCAGATAGGGAAGTCAAAAATACATCAAAGCTAAAATATTGAAAACAGGGAAACAGAGATATCAATATGTAAAAAGGACAATATTAAAAGAAAAAAGAGAGACTTAAAAAATGCAGACATAGATTTTTCATATGGAGAGGAAGTCAATGTGATATAAAGAAATAAAAGACTGGTATAAACTTAGAAAAATAGGGGTAAATATTAAGGTAACCACATAAGGAATCTAACAATCCTACAAATCAAAAGAAAAAAGTAGAAAAATACAAAGACTCAGCAAACACAAAATCTACAACAATGAAAAAGATGAAAAAAAAAATACATAAAGAAAAACGACTCAGCACAGAAAATTAAGGGGAACAAACAAAATGTGAAACAACACACAAAAAGAGACATCAGGATGACAGCACTAAACTCATACCTATCAATAATTACACTGAATGGAAACAGACTTAATGCACCAATAAAGAGACAGAGAGTGGCAGATTGGATAAAAAAAAACCATGATCTATCTATAAGCTGCCTACAAGAGACACACCTTAGACTAAAAGACACAAACAGGCTAAAACTCAAAGGATGGAAAAAAATATATCAAGCAAACAACACTCAAAAAAGAGCAAGAGTGGCAATATTAATCTCTGACAAAATAGACTTTAAAGTAAAATCTACCACAAAGGATAAGGAAGGACACTATATAATGATTAAAGGGTCAATACACCAGGAGGACATAACTATAATAAATATTTACGCACCCAACAACAGGGCTTCAAACTACATAAAACAAACTCTAACAGCCCTGAAAAGAGAAATAGACAGCTGCACAATAGTAGTAGGAGACTTCAACATGCCACTTTCTGTGAAGGAGAAAACATCCAGAAAGAAGCTCAACAAAGACACAGAAGAGCTAAATGCTACAATCAACCAACTTGATCTCACGGACGTATACCGAACACTGCACCCAACAGCAGCCAAGTATACTTTCTTTTCCAACGCACATGGAACATTCTCCAGAATAGACCACATATTAGGCCATAAAGCAAGCTTTAACAAAATCCAAACCATCGAAATATTAAAAAGCATCTTTTCTGACCATAAAGCCATAAAAGTAGAAATCAACAACACAAAAAGCAAGGAAAAACCAATCAAACACATGGAAACTGAACAACACCTTGCTCAAAAACTACTGGGTTACAGAATAAATTCAGGATGGAATAAAGAAATTCATAGAATCAAACGAGAATGAAAACACATCCTACCAGAACCCTTGGGAGACTGCAAAAGCAGTGCTCAGAGGTCAGTTTATAGCAATAAATGCACACATCCAAAAAGAAGAAGGGGCCATAATCAAAACATTAACCCTACAACTCGAACAAGTAGAAAGAGAGCAGCAAAAAAAGCCCACAGGTGCCAGAGGGAAGGAAATAATAAGAATTAGAGCAGAATTAAATG